TGTCAAATTTAATTTTCAAATAACCACATATTTGGTTAAAATAGTACCTTTTACTAGCAGGGGTTATTTTTCTACATATGTACACATTACCAGTAAGGACATGTATATTTACAAATGGTAGCAGCGTTTTAGAAACCACGGCTAATCAAAGTCACTACTTTGAAAGAAATCTGTCATGCTTTAGCCTTTGTGGAAGTGTTTTTGTTTATATTTGAAGAACCCCTGAACAATTACCTCAGTGATGATTTATGAAAACAGCCAAATAGAATTTCAGGAAGAGAGTCCAGCTAAGCGCTTTTAGTTTTCGCAGAGCTATTTAGAAGGACAAAAGAGGCGGCATGAGAGAATGAAAAACGAAGAAGAAGAGTGGAAAACTTGGGAAGAAGGTGTGATGAAGAGACCACAAAAAGACAGATATAGAAGAGAGGGGAGACTGCATGTGTCTGCTCGACTCCCTGCTGTGAATTTGTGATTGAGTAAGAGACTGAACAAGCTTTTGTCATCTGTGTGCACCACTGACTTGTAACAGTGACTGTGCATTTATCAAAATGAAATTAAATGGCAACAATTGGTGTGTGTGTTTGTGTGTGTGTGTGCATGTGTGTTCTGTGGTGAGTTGAGTGTCTGACGTTAAGGTGCAGTGGTGCACACGGACCAGCAGGAGGGGCTGAGGGGCTCTAGAGGGCAGTGAGGCGACCGGTGAGGGCTGCCTGGAGCTCAGAGGGGAGGAAGACTCCCAGCTCTGTGATGATGCCTCCTGTGATGAGCTGGTGAGGGGTCACGTCGAACGCCGGGTTCCACACCTCAATACCTGCGGCAAAGAGTCGGGGATAAGTGAGACTGTTGAGCATTTAAAGAAGAAAGCTGTGGTCCTCTGGCTCCAGAACGTTTTGTGCCTGCACACACCCCGGTGGCACCAGAGATGGTTGGCTTCACTTTTAGGGAGCAGTCATGTCGTCCATCTTTATTTACAGACTATAATTTAAACTGTTTAGCGAACTATTTTAACATTATGATGATAAAGTTTGTCATGTATGTTTTTATGTAACCCCTCAGCTTTGTCTTGCGAGCTTGTAAGGAAGTTCCTGACCGTGAGGTTGGAAACAACTGCCCAAGTCCATTGTCGAGTACTTTCTGACTTCACTGACTACACTCAGCTACAGCTTAAGACATAAATCTTTAAAAACAGGTTGCAAACATCGTAGTTCAATATACAAAAAACTTGCTTATTTCCCAAAAGTGTAGGGATCATTAGCCAGCAAATATTACTCAACCAGATGTGTGCCATTTAGAGCTGCAGATGAATATACATTTGCTGCTTTAGTGAGTGTTTACAGCAGCAGGATGATGTTCATCATAATAAAAGGCGTGCGCCATCAAGTACAATAATGTCTATGGAGCAGATGTCAAAGATCAGGCTTCTGCTACATAAGCATTTTTCTTGTTATTACAAACAGGCTGTTGCTGGTTTTGTTATTTTGCTGTAGCAAAGAATAGCAGCCCTATGCGGCACTTTAAGGGCATCAAGGGGCCGAATGGCTAAGATGAATACTACACAACCTCCACATCCATGGTTAGATTCCCCATAGACGACTATTAAACAAAGGCAAAATTACAAAATGTAGTCTTATTTAAATGCCAGTAACAGGAAGGACCAGAGAAAAGTGAGAGGAAAGTTAAAGAGAGGGAAATGTAAAGTGCAAGCACATGTCCTCCTCTCCAGAGGCATGTGTGCTCATTAAATGAATGTGCTTTAATTACTGTGACGACACCTCTCACCTCAATATACTCATTGAACAAAGACTCAATTGAGCTCTCACAAACTCACAAACAACCGGATGTCCACTCTTACAAACCCAGATTTTCACTGGTTTTAATGCGTTGTGGCATCTGATTCTGCATCTCTCTCTCCCCTCATTTCCATTTCCTTTCTCTACCGTCACCAATAAAAGTCATAAAATACCCCTCCCCAAAAAACCCCTACAAAATAAACGAGACCTCAAGAACAATTTTTCCAGCACAGAACATTTTGTGAAATCAGAGCCTCGCACTTTACCAACCACAAAACGTCTCTGCAAAGGTAATGTGATTCCACTAAGTGCCATCCAATCCTCATGTAACATTTGGAGCCCTTACACCGTGTTCGACTCGTGCACCTAATCTGCATGTGACGTCAATTAGTCTGAGGGTGGACACAAGAAATAGGCCACGCTCATTTATCTCTCCAACCCCGATGTTTACTCCTCGCTGCTGATCCTCTACTCACATATCTGTGTATGTTTTTGTTTTCTCTTTCCTTCCCCAGAATAAAAAAAACAACCAATAACATTCCACATTTCTTACCCTTGGCGGCGATGGGCACCCCGTTTATACTGGTGAGCTCCTCAGGGGGCCGCACTTCGATGATGATGTCCCTGCCACTCTCCAGGCTCAGGTCACACGACGTGCTGGGCGCTGCAACATAGAAGGGGATCCCATGGTGCTTTGCGGCGATAGCCAGCTGGTACGTGCCCACCTTGTTGGCCGTGTCACCATTGGCAACCACCCTGTCTGCTCCAACCACCACAGCTGAAGAGAGAGAGAACACAACAATAAATGTTAGAGGAAGAGGAAGAATAAAATAATTGAAAGTAGAAAACTTGAGGATGAAAACTGACCTGTGATGTCCATTTCTCTCATGGTGAGCGCTGCCATGCTGTCTGTTATGAGAGTAGCGGGGATTCCCTCTGCTACTGCCTCATATGCCGTCAGCCTGGATCCCTGGTTGTACGGTCTCGTCTCTGTGCAGTACACGCGCTTCAGCCTCCCTAGTGCATGGAGGCTTCGCACCACGCCTACACACAAACACCGCCACAGTTACAGCGCCAGAAACATGACAACAATCATCCCTCTTTTCTCATTCACACGCACGGCTCCAGTCTCACCCAGTGCGGTCCCGTATCCAGCTGTGGCCAGCGAGCCCGTGTTGCAGTGTGTGAGGATGGTCACAGAGTCTCTCGGGACGCCAGACAGGATGTGCTGGGCGCCATAGTTACCAATCTTTTTGTTGTCATTGACGTCACGCTCCAGCATGTCTTCGATCCAGGCAATTACACTGTTGGAGGGGGGCCACAAGAGGTGGAAAATGAGAAGAGGCTCCCGTCTGCCACTGTGGACATGTCCATCAAGTGTACAGTTACAATACGGCTGTATGTTTCTAATTGTCCTGACATCCATTCATCCAACAGGCCTTCTCCCTCCCCCCTCTTCATACCTCATCCCTGTTTTTAATATGTGTTAATAGTATGTGGCTTAATGTAACACGGTGAGTGACCACATTACACCAATCATTGCTGCCCTTCAATTGTTACCTGTGAGTATCAGAACTGATTTTAAGTTTTACCCTTTGTTTTTAAAGCCTTGAACAATCAGGCTCCAGCTTATATCTGTGATCCTATGAGCCTGATCTCTGCCTGATGTTTCTGCTGTTTGAGTGGATTCACAACTCTGAGAGATCCTTCAGCAGGGTCTATACCAACTGTTCCAAAATAACGACTCTCTGGCTTTTATTGATCGGGCCCCTCAGCTGTGGAACTCCCTGTCTGGAGGTCTCAAGAAGACACTCAGTATCTTCTTTTTAATAATTTCCTGACACTCACTTTTATTGTATGGCATGTTCACATCTATTAGTATGGTTAAACCTGTAGTACCTTATGTTTTCAATTTTATTACTTGCATTGTCGGTTTTATTGTAAGGCCCTTTGTAACTTTACTTTGAAAGGTCAATTTTTAAAGTTAATATTATGCTGCTTTCAGACATGCACTGGACTCTGCAGTTGCAATGTATTTTCTCCCAAGGAGGCATGTGTGAACAAAAATATAATGTATAATGTACGTAGAAATCCAGGAGAATTCCATGTGAGAACACAGCTGGTGTCCCCCCCGCTGGATTCACCGCAGGCGAGTGTGGGGGGGTTGATGACACTTCTAATATGCGACAGGCACAAAAATTAAAAAACAAGAAAACCAATATCTCGCAGTGAAAAAGAGGTGTCATACACAAAGATGTCGAGAGAGTTTGTGGTGATAAAAGCTGACGACAGTGTCGGTTTGCTGTAAACATGAGTTAATATGTCACTTCCTGAATCTGTCTGCTGCACCCAGCTGCTCCACCTCTCGCCTGAATAATGCGGAGGATTTGATGCTGTTGTGAACGAGTCTGTGCAGAGAACCCCTCACTGTGCTGTGCATGTGTGAAAGGAAAACTCTGGAGCCAATTCTCTGGATTTTACCCGGAGGTCATTTCTGAAAATGTGTTTTTAATTTATTTATCTACACTGTGGTGTCCTGGCATATTCTAATTAGTCCTGCCACAGTTTCATAATTAATCAAAAACTTTTTACACTTAACATAAGAGATATGTAACTTTACTGCATTGTATAGGTCTGTGCAGTGCTATTGGTCGTGCTTGCCTGCATGCTCCCACTATCCACCATAAAGTTTTTACTGTCCACGCAAACACTCATAGTTTCAGCTGCACTTGTTCGCATTACTGAAAGTGGCATGCAATGCAGGTCTCTCTCTCTCTCTCACTGGAGAACTGGTCTCTTGCTCTTTAGTCTGTGTACCTCACACTCAGAATCTGTTGTGCGTGAAAGTGACGTTGGTGCATGAGCACCCCAGATAATGCTTTAGATTGAATGAATTCTGTGGGAAACTTTAATCATAGGTTTCCTCCATTCCTACCTTACGGAGTCAATCACCCGTCAACTAAAGTGCACTTAACAGTGTTGATTTGTCTACACACCAAGTTTCAAGGACCAAAAATCATCTGCATGTCCGACCGGGGTCACTTGTTCCACTGCTTCACTTTCTTTCTTCAGCCAAAAACGATGCTGAGTTACAGCAGCCAGTGCTTAGATGCTTCTCTAATACAACAGCCTGTGGTATATTTACAGCTTTAGAACAAAATGTCAGCAGCTCAGATGAGTTTATGTGACCCGTCCGCTCTGCTGCACTGCGATTTTAAAATACACAGATTCATCACCAAGGGCGTTCCTCGTGGCTTCAGTTACTAAAGATCAGGATCGGTTCAATGCATCTTTTCGTGAAACTGATTCTGATCTCTTGACTCGATGGATCCGCTGATATCGGTTCCAACACTGACACCGGCACTTTCTTTCCTCCCCTCTCTCTGCGTAGAACTGATATGAATCATTGTGAGGGTAACATGGAGGCCAGGTGTGCTGTGGCATGGACCTACTGTGTCTAAATGGCTGTAACTGATATCAGAGGCACTGACTCTTATAATGATATCGACAAAGAAACTTATTTTATATCGATCAGTGACATCTGATCTGTGCAGGCAGCATCTGAGCAAATACTGACATGTCTCATCAGATGAGGGCTTCTCTACACAAACCTTAGTTTACACTCCTAAAACAGCAACTGGTTTCTGCACCACCATCTCACCCACTACTTCTTTCCTGTTTGTGCAGCCCTATACTACAGACCTGTTGAGATAATTAAAGCTATAAAAAAACAAAAGTATATAATATAAAATGATATAACAGTACTCAGGGTGTCTGTCACACAGATAACGTGATGATATATGTATGTGTAGGCTTCCCAATTTTTGGTTATCTGTTAACTTTCACAAAGACACCAGAGGCTGTGTTACAGCTGCAGCTCATGTCATCAAATTCACAGGGGGAAATCTTAAATTAAGATTATTTCAATTCACAGATCCAGTTTTACTGGTTACACATCCAGCAGCTGATTGTTTGCAGATGTAAATGTCGGATTTTAACGTGCCCCGTGGCGTTTTCTTGAAAACAAGTTACATTCACTGTTTCTTGGACCGCCAACAAATATTTTTTGATTTACATCTGCCTCTACCTTTGATCTGTGTTTGTTTGTTAGTATAATTAAGCAGAAACTACTACTTGACCGGTTACTATGAAACTTTGTGGAAGGATGTGGTATGGGAGCCCACCAACGTGTTTTTCCATTTTTAACATCGAGAGATTTTTGATGTTTTCACCAATTTCCAAGGGAATAATTAATAACATGACATTCGGCTGATGTTTTTTATCCAAAGCGACTTACAATAAGTGCATTCAACCATGAGGGTACAAACCCAGAACAGCAAGAATCAAGTAAGTACAAGTGGCTTCATTCATGGATCTAATCAGGCACATTAAGGGAACTGATATCTATGAATGCGAATAATTTGAGGCAGCTTAGTTGAACTAAGGCAGAGGTTGCGCTCTTTGTGTGCAATTTTATTGTTTCCAATGTAAACGCAGTTCCTCCATTATTATCCATTGTTTACATCTTTGTGTAACAGTCTTCTTTTCTTAGCTATTTGGTGCAAACCACCACCAGTAGATCACTGAAATAGAGTGAAACTATTGACAAGAGTGTGTATTACATCAATCAGGAGCGTGTATGTCCTTTGTCTTCAGTCAAAACATTGCTCCATAGCATCACCGATGATCAATAACTCAGTGCACATTTTAATCAACTAATAAAAATAATAAATCATATGCCTAAACTGAATAAGTAAATCACATATCAAGAAAAAGGGCTTTTGGTCAGACTTGACCAGTACGATGGAGACAAGTGGAAAAATAGAGAGGCTGACCAAAGGAGTATTCTGTGCTCAAGAGGAAGACATTTCCATTACACTGAGAGGACCATATGTTTGTGGTAATTTAGTTTAAGACAACAAGTTTAAGGATATGCACCATGCATCATCGATCTAATCAATATAAACAGTGAATGTTCAGTCACCCTGGCTGATCATACAGCGGATGTTCTCATGTCCCTCTGACCAGCTCACCTTTCTCTGAGCTGCTCCGAGTTCTTCTCCATGCTCTCGTTCTCAGCAAACTCCATCAGCTCGCGGGCGGCGCGGCCCATGTTGACAGCGGTGGGTCTGGCTGAGGTCAGGTGACACAGAGACTCCCTGATGAAGGTCACAGGGTCATCGCCACCAGCACCTGCACGCAGCTCCACGGCCAGGCTGAGGCAGCCGACGATGGCGATGGCCGGGGCGCCACGCACCTGGAGGAAGAGGAGGAGTAATTGGTTAGTTATGCTGACATGGTGGTCATCCTCTTTATGTGCTGACTTCCAGCAGCTTTCTGTTTCCACAAAGATGAACAACATATTTATTCAGAGTTTAAGTGGGCAATCATGGAGACAAAAGTTGTCAGGATGGTCTGGACTCATGACATCATCTCTAGCATTAGACTCCATCATCATCATGACATCACCCCCCTGCTTATGGTACATTCCTTCACTCTGACACACGCACACACAGGATCAAACACTTAGCAGCTGCATGTGTGTGTCTCGCTGGATTGGCAGAGGAGTGCAGTGCCTGCACAGCTTCAATAAATGAATACCTGCATCTGAAAAATGTTGCCCGCTTTTACGCAACTTGAACAACCTGCAACTGTGTGTGAGCACCTCAGGGTGTCGGGCCTCAGCTGTGCAGAGAAACAGGGGGTGGAGGTGTCACTGAGTGCAGCACAAGAACCAGGCGAACAAAAAACCGGAGCAAAGGTCATTAATAATTCATCAATAATCTCTCCCAAAGAAAGAGCAGGGTGGGGGGGTGTTTCATGGGCTGGTGCTGGGTGCAGATACCTACTTAGTCTCTCGCTTGCACATGATAATATGAAAACTATAAATAAAGGATTCGGTGGGGGGGTGTGGGGGGTAATCGGGGGTGTGTGGAGCTGCTGGTGCATCCAGAACTAAGACAGAGGCCGACGGCGCCGAGCGCACCGAGCACATGCGTGCAGCTGCGGGAGCACAAAAGAACCGACGACGAGAAAACCTTTAGATACAGTCTATGGGGGAAACATGCACATGCAGCTCCGGCCCAGGAGAAGGGTGGGCTGGAGGAGACAGAGGGGGGAAGGGGCTCCCTACCTTCATGGACTTGATGGCCTCGTACGCGTCCTGCACCGTGCGGACCTCATCGTACGCGGTCTGGTGCGGCAGCAGCAGCTGGTTGAGGATCTGCAGAGAACCGGCCCGGTAGCGGATCGCTTCCAGCGTCATGACCGAAAAGAGCGCGGCGGGATAGCGGCGGAAATAATCACAGACGGACCGGTTGCGGCCGGGTGCGCGCACACGCACTCACTCGCTCACGCTTTCCTCTCTCTCCCTCACACACACTTCCACACTCTCTCTCTCTCTCTGGTCGGATACACGCTGAAGTGACCGCGGCCTGGCAGACTGTCAGTCCCGGGAGCCGTCGCTAAAGAAAGAGAAGGGAAAGTGCAGCAGGACGAGGAGAAGAGAGAGGGCTGATGAGGAGGAGAGACGGAGGAAGAGGAGGTCTGCTGTGTAGTATGGGAGGATAAAAAGAAAGGAGTGAGGGGAGGAAGGGCTGGAGACGCTTCGCACTGTGACAGACAAGTCGGGGAGCAGACGCGGAACCACGTGTTCAGCCGATCAGGAAGCGGAGGCCTCGGTGACCACGCCCACCGCAGTCCCGCGGGTTGTCCAACTTCATCACGATGACGCCCCCTCTTCCTCCTCTCCCCCCCTCTTCCTCTTCTCCTCCTCCTCTCCCTCCTCATCCTCTCCTCCTCCCCCCCCCCTCCTCTTCATCCTCCTCCTCTGTGTCTGTGCACCATCCCCCTCTCTTCTTCTCTGCCTCTTTTGTCGGTGGGGGGGGGCATTTCACATTCAAATACGTTATTAGCATAACACCACAGCCCCAAAGCTTTTCCCCAACAACAGAAACACAAGATGTCTAAATTCAAGTTTCATTGTTTTCAGCCTGGGACACTGGCTTCACCTCCTCATGTACCTGATCCAGTGTGTGTGTCAGGGTGTAAATTAATAATGCTCATTAATCAAAAGCCAAACAATCTATATATGTCCATATGTTGTTTTCTTTTGTCACACATTTTTTAAATAGAAGTTTTTATAATCATTTGAATGAAACTGTCTTTTGGTGCACTAGTGTTCTCTTGCACATCATCTCTATAACGTCTACAAATCATGTTACATTATATTATTCCACATTTATGCATCTTATTGTGAAATTCAGCCATTTATATATACCAGCACTTGCCTTTTTATGTTCATGTCATATTATATTACTATATATATTACATGCATCTATTAATTGTAGGACAAATAATATACATACAGGAAATTCACATATACGTGTACTTATAACAGTCTATATATGCATGTTAATGAATACCTTTATGTCAATATCTCCTTTTACTTACACAAATACAGATTTTACATCCTTGTGCATTCATCCTTGGCCACTGCACTTTATTTACTACATTGCTCCACAAAAAAATAATTTTCTTAGTGAAAAGAATATATTATGTACATATTTTCAATTTCTATTCTATTGCTGCCTTTTTTACTCTTGTCTTTCTCATTCTGATTATTTGCTGCTGTAACAAGACGATTTCCTCAAGGTGGGATCAGTAAAGCTTTACTGTATCGTACCTTACCTTATCTTAAAAACATTATCAGTCTAAAAAAAATAAAGAATGACACACAAAAACATGTGCAGGAACAAATACAAAATAATATAACATTGGAGTTGGGTGGAAGTAGTTCACTAATAATGTTGATTTAGTCACTTCATCTTTATGAACCTGCCTGTTCTCTTGTCCTGTGTTAAAGCTCCAGAGCTACTTCAGAACTATTCCTCAGCTCTACAACATACTGTCACTTTTTATTGTTTGTGTGCTGGATGTTGTGTGCAGAGACTTCTATAGACAACCTAAGGTGCAAAGTTAAAAACTGTATGTTTGTCTGACCTTGTTTATCTGCTGAGAAGATTTGAAGTCAATGTTTTTGAGTTATTGAACAGGTGTTATTTTTTATACAATGCATGCTGGCTATTCCTGAGGTCTGGGAAGAAACTGATATCATGCTAACTCTGTGTAATTTTTAACTATGCCTCCCATTTTGCTTTTGTGTAGAGGGTTGGTTCCTCCCTGCTCTCTCCCAGGGCTTCTTTAATTATTTCTTATTACAATTTTAAACTATTTGGAGCAGTACTAGAATGGGAAACTCTTTTTTGCCACAAACCATGAATCCTTTGTAGGAAATCTCCTGTGTACACACCACAGACTCTATGAATAATATGAATAAAAATAGATATGTATATAAATCTACTGTCTATGGTTCTAACAGAAGTAGATTCTGGAAGAGCAGTGTTGAATTTTAACCAACAGCAATTAGTGCCCATATCTCTCCAATATGTCCTTCCCTTCATTGGCTGTCAATTCAATTTAGGTTTGACTTTAAGATTCTTCTAAAAACTTTTAAAGCTCAGCACGGTCTGAACCCCAGTGATGTCATGGAGCGACTAAGTCCCAACGCTTCAAGCATTCATCTAAGATCTTCGGACCAACACTTAATAGTAGTTCCTGAGTCACAGCTGTTGACTAGGGGTGACCAGGACCAGCACCCCCCCCCCCCCACGACTCCTTATCTGAGGTTTGTCAGCACTCTTCTAAGTCATTGCTTCAAACATATGTTAATAGGAAAGCATTTCAATACCGGATTTTTAACCTATTTTAACAGATGCTGTTTGTTTTTAATATTTTCTTAAATTTGATGTCTTATTGTTGTTTTGTTCGTCGTTGTTTCATTCCATTTTGTAAAGCATTTTTTGCAATAGAAATAAAGTTTTATTAATCTCATTATGTAAAAAAAAGTAGTGTCAACACCAGCCACAGATAGAAAGCATATGAGAATCCATTATATCAAACCAATTTTCTGAAGTGTGTGATCAATTCAAAATCAGTTTCATAAGCTCATAAAATTAACAAAAGTAATTCAATATCCAGCTGGTAAAGACATGTTGAGTAGGTTTTCCGTCCAGATTAGAACAGTCGTACTCAGGGGTTCTTCAGTTCAACCAGGACACAAACTTGGAGGTGACACTATTTTATTCATGTTCCCACTAACATCATGTATAAGATAGTAAAGCCTAAACAATCAGGCTTTCATATATTCCCATTTTGAGCTACAAGTCATCATGACTGGCCCTTAAAATAGAGACAGTGCATATTATGCTGTACATTACATTTAGAATGATTGCCCTTATATGACTTAACAGATTTGGGGAAAAATGTCATAGGATCAACAATAATATCTTCCCAAACCCAGATGAACAGCTTTACTGCAGCTGATCAAGACAGAAGGATTAAGAGTAATGATATACAATCCACCAAACTTTCTTTTTGTGTAAATGGAGTGTAAATGGATACAGATGAGGACAACGAAAAAAAAAAAAAGAAAGAGTCAAACAGACCAACAGAAAAAGAGAGGGAGGAGTGTGTGTGAGGTGTTCGTGGTAAATGCAGGGAAGTGTTGTGAGTCACCAGCGGGACAATCTAACAATATGTCCCTTTGCCCAGGTCCTGGCCATCCAGCTACCACAATGAATGCTGATGAGCTCACTGCCATGACAACAGAGCAGCCTCAGAGGCCACAAGGTTACTTGAGGAGTGGGGTGACGTAGCATGAGGTTTTGTGTGTTTGGGGGTGAAATGGGGTTAAAGCTATTGAATTGAAAGAAACGGTGCAGCTGCAGTTTTTCATGCTGTTAAAGCTGTTAAAGCATATGAGTGATGCAGACTCCAAGTTATATGAGAGCTACTGTGTGTGGTCGCAATCAGAGTCGGTAAAACTCATATATTTGTTAGGGTGAGACCAATGATTTTGTGTTTGGACATCTGAAATATTTGGGGGAAAAAAGGTTTTAATTTCTTTCAATCAAAAATAAAAAATATTCTACTGTCCAAACATTTTCCTGACATGGTCATCAAACAGGAAAGCCCATATATTTACCACTACCACCACGGTTTATGTTTGCATTTGTTTGTTTGTCTGTTAGTTAGCAGGATTACACAAAAACTACTGGACGGATTACCATGAGACTTGAAGGATGTGATACGGGTCAGGTAGGAACCCATTCGATTTTGGTGCAGATCCAGATAAGGATTTCTTTTTCTCTGAGATATGACAGATAATAATTCAACAATCTTGATGAAAAAGATCTGTCCTGTTGGTTGATTGATATTTATGTGTGTGTGAAATGTGGTGCAGATCCAAATAAAAATCTGGTTCTAGTGATTTAAATGTGGTTTCTGTTGGGGACTGTTTTGTTTTGGCAAAGGATGTGCTCCAGTGCCATTCTAGTTCTTGTATTGTTTCAGGTAGCCATTGGTTTCAATTCATTTTCATATAGAATGAAAAGCTGTTAGTGGATCCTTTAAATTAGCCTGAACTGAATTGAGTTGACACAACTCAATGAGTCAAATGTTTAGATCAAACTGAAACAGTTTTAAGAGTAAAGGATTTTACAAAAGCACAGAAATAAATGGAAACTTCAAATCGAATCAAATCAAAGGCACCATAATGTTCCATTTACAAAGAGTCAGAGGATAACCCCTCCTGAGGTTAAAGGGAGTAGGGGGGGGTTAGATAAAAAAAAAATCTCAGTCTATGGAGAGCTGCATCTTTAACCGGGATTATTTGCTAATGGAGCGAGCTGGTGGGTGGATTAGGGCAAACACACAAGTCTCTGCTCTGCCACGTGACCAAAAACACTATTAGTGGAGTTACCAAACATCATCAACCCAGAAGAGTCAAATATAAACATAGCATAAGTCAGCTACATCCTGGCTGTGTACAGTGGACATGGATCTGCTGTCAGGTTAGCAGGTCATCAAACACATCCATCTGAGACATCTGTCCCCACAGCAGAGTATGTGTGGCAGTTAATGACACATTTGTAAAAAATTACAAGTGTCACACAACTGGCTGTTTTGGTCTTTTAGGGTAAACGATTTATTCTCAAGGTGTCTGTCTTAGTCAGTAGGAATTTTTTACAACTGTCAAAGTTTTACCAGATACCTTGATTTTAAGTGAAAAAAACAGGTAGAGAGAAGAATTGCAGAGACGCCTATGACAGGGATGTCTATGGGGAAACAGAAATAGAAATGAGCAATTGCCCAGGCTTACTGACAGATACAGGGCCGTCCTCGTGTGGGCAGACTATTCAGCATCCGGCTGTGCCACCACTGCAGAGCTCATTTAGAGGGACAGTATCTTTCAGTGTTTTTGTAAACTGCAAACACCAAAAATCTGCAGAAAATGGCAGAACACTGACGTAGTGGTCACTAATTATTTTCTACTCAGCAGCACAATAGACCTAATATTGCAAAGAAAATCCAAAAGAAGCAACGTATTACTCAATAATCTCTGAATTAGTGTGACGAAAGTGAAGATGAAGGAAACAACAAAGAAACGGCTGATGGCGGAGAAGAAGCAGAAGCTGTAATACTTTAGCAGGGTTAAGCTTCAACCACAATCATGGTACGCTGTTAACACCCCCTCTCCACGGCCCCAAATGCGACTCTACGTCTGATCTAGTCGTCTCCTTGGTGACACAAACACTAATCCCTCATTATGGGTTGTAGGCTGTAGCTGTGGTTTTTTTTTTTTTATTCCCATATCACACCACTCCAAACGGAGCAGATTACTGTAATCTGGGAACACTGGAGCAGACAGATTAGATTAAGCTCATTACACACATAAAATATGGGGGAAAGGGGTTAAAAACACCTCAGTCCACTGGTTAAACACACTTCAGAGCAGGCTCACACACGCACATGCACACTTTTTGGTCATCTATGGACATCAAAAGACTCTGAGCTGGTGTCAGGTTTTTTTTACAGCTCTCACCAGCAATTCTCAATGGAAAGACGGAAATATAAAAAAATCTACAGAGTGGGAGTAAAATCTGTCCTTCAGAAGCTGTAGTGTCTTTTTGTTTAAGTGCAAATAAGCCTGGCTCTCCCTTACCTCTTTAACACATTACATAATATAAGCTTTAATTTCTGTCCCTTTGTTGTTGCAGGTTCTTTCTCAGCTATTGGGACAGGCGACAATCACAAGTGACGCAAGTTATATGATCTCAGACGGAATTAGCAGGTTGGTACATGCAGTTGTCATGGACATGAGCAGCACAGAGTCATGCTAAACGTGCCCCAAGTATCAAACCGTAGTGTTTGTATGTGAATGAGTATTGAATGAGACAGAGAGAGATGAAAAAAAAAACCCAAAACAACCAACAGTCCTCCAGTCAAATCTCTGCTCCCCTTTTCTCCTCTTATCGAGCACGTTTCCTCGTAAGGGACTCCAGCTGAAGCAGAGAGAAATGTTTAGATATTATAAATGTGCACATGAAGAATATACAACATATATTGAGAGTTCAAAGCAGCTCTTACTTCACTCTCTACCATCTTCACCCTGCCAAGTGCATCCTTGGCAGCATCCTATACAAAAAAGGGAAACCATAATTTTACCCAAGTGAGCCATAACAGTAATATCCATAACAGCGAACCCTGCCCGTGCACTCACTCTGTTGCCTTGGCTGGAGTATTTCTTCACTGAGTCAGCAAGTCCTTGGACCAGGCGCCGCAGCACATTTTCATATTCTGCACATGTGGCGAAGGGAAATGTGGGTTACGTGCTTTACAAGTGGAAATGTGTTAGTCAAGTACATACAAGAGCCTGACCAATTTATCAGCTGGCTAAATCTTCCACATATCAGGATCAGCGTTTATGTTTGCTGATATTTGACAGAATAAACAATGCAGAAAAGATGTGCGTTCATATTTACTTTTCACCCAAAAAAGGATATCTAATAATTCCAGAAAACTCTGTGTCTGCGGAATGCAGATCTCGAGAATCATTCATCTTATCGGCTTCACACGTGTTCTCTTAAAGAAGAGCAGTTTCAACGTTGGTGCAATTTGGTCAAACGATATGTTCAATATTAATAAACTTTGAATTAACAGGCGACCAGCACTCTGCAGCAGCAACGGCTGGGTCTCAACCACGCCTTCATGAAAATGGCAACGACAAGTGACCCTCCAGTTTGGGGTTCTGCGTACTGAGTTGAGCTTCACTGAACTTTGAATAAACCGTTGAACAGGTGAGGGTCACTTCTTCAGTTTTACAGGCCAAGAAAACAGATCATTACAAATGTCAATATCACTCAGCCTCTGGAACATACCTGTGTATAATCTGTTTGTTTGTGTGTTACCTGTCAGCAGAGCAGGAGAGGCTCGCTCCAGCTGTGCTTTCTGCCACTGCAGTCTGTGTGTGACCTGTTTGTGTTGGTGGATGAGGTCAGGCGGAGGGTCCCGCTTGTTCTTTTGGTACTCTGCGATCTGAGAGACAGGCGTAGTGACTGACATGTCCTAGTGGCTAAGGCATTGCGAGCATTATGGAAAGGGATGTTGCCGAAAGGTTTAGACAAACGCACACACACAAAAATACCTTCCTCTCCACCCGTTCCTTGTCATAGTTGAGGAGGCTGAAGCTGTGGAGTTTATACTGTGGAGGAGAGTTGTTGGGATGACTGCTCCTGCTGCTCCCTTCATGTCTGGGTTTAGATCGAGGAGATGGAGCCTGGTTCACACACACACACACACACACACACACACAC